CATATGGAAATCAGCAATGCAGTACAGATGCTGAACATGACCTTTAGTGTGCAACTGCTTGCCTCAATACTTCAAACCTTTTTCTATATCATTGTTAGCATATATATTTATCTAGTGGAATGGCATGGTAGATTGATGTTCAATTTGCATAAACAAGATGATGTGTTAATCTTATTAGGCACATTAAATGGTATTATAAAAATAATATTAATTGTGTGGGCATGCGAGACCGGCAAGAATCAGGCTCAAGAAATTCGCAGTACGATTCACTATGTACTTAACAGCATCAGAGGCGAGAAAATAAAATATGAGGTAGTAAAAACGATATTTAATTTGTATTTTTATCTTATCATACATATGTTGTATGCCAATACAATTTTATTTTAAACGACATTATTACCACGTCGTGACCTATGCGACACAGGATGTGTTAAATATATTTCAGATGAGTTACATCTTCCAGTCCTGTATTTAACAATTTTGTGATTAACATTGCAGTTGCAGTTATTTTCCTTACAAACACTGCATTGCAAAATTACGTTTTCCACCAAAGGTTTCAATGTGGATGCAACATTTCTTGCGATAGTAAGTAATCAAATCGTTTGCTTTCAATAATAAAATGTATCTTTCTTATTTTCATTTTGCTTTCAGATGGTGGGTACCACTGCCACATATATATTAATATCGGTACAATTCCTTGTTATGTCACATTCTTGTGATGAAAAATCTGCACTCAACATTACATGAATGATGTAATTTATAAAAAGATAATAAAAAAGAAACAATTTTTTCTTATATTTATGTATAAACAATTATTTGTAATACACATGTATACCTACATACTTGTATACAAAAATTAAATTTTCTTTGCATGTATTAAACACACAAATATCAATAATAAATATTAACATTAATAATTAATAATTAACCTAAGAAAAATATTAACATAAAATTGTAAATTAATATTAAATATTTTACGTATTTAAATGTATTGAAAATGTAAGATACGGAATAAATTTCTAATAAAATATAGCTTCTGACTCATTTAATATTTTAAATATCTAAAGCAATTTAATATTGTTCTCTTAAATGTGTAGTTAATTCAAATATTTGAATGTAATGCAATATGTACTTTTCTACATTGAAATAAATTAAGGCGTTTAGAAGGACAAACTCTAAAAATAAAAAACATTAATATACATTAAACCACATTTACATTGATTTATGTTTCCTTAAGTCAACACCCAGT